CTGCAACTCAGAATGAAGTCTGCTCCCAAGGCCTCCTGCTCCCAACACAGGAGTGCCTCCACTCTCCAGAAGCCGAGAGCACTGCGCCTTGATGCCTGTGCATAGTACACTTCAATCCTGGGGGTGTGTGCGCGTGCAAAGGATTCTTTAGGTGTGGGTGGGGAGGCGTGAGGAAGTGATCCCATTAGGACAGACAAGCCAGACTCAAGAAGTGAATGAAAAGTACCAGCTGAATTTTCGGCCTCTTTCCCTAGATGTCTCCAGAGTGTGCCTTGCGCCTGATCAGCAAGCTCACGCGTATCACAACAGCTGCACGGAAGCCGGGGCAGGAAAGATTCTTGGATGATTTAATGAAGCTGAAATCAACATGCACTCAGCTGCAGGGCAGGAGGTTGTGGAACATTCATTTTGTCCAAAGTAGGTCTTAAAGCGCACAGAGATGTAATGTGAAGGAAGAATCTACAGGCATTTACTTAGGTCTTTGTTTTAGGGATCAGAACGGAAAGAAAATGGAAGCGTAGGCATCAAATCCTACCTCATATACATCGGGCCCCTGCAGCAAACACCGTCCACTGCCTGACTGTATAAAACCCAAGATGAGGGAGGGGAAGCATTTTTCTTGCCACCGATGAGGTTTGGTTAGGTGATGCAACTAGTGCCACTGCTCCGGTGAACAAGTGCAGTTGAGGACCACGTCTTCCTGGGCTGCTAGGCCTGCTGCCGGCACAACCCAGTGGGGGCACTGCTTTATTGCCTCCCCTCTGAAAACCTGCTCCCTACTTTTCCCAGGCTCTAAAAACCATGTTCACAATAAGCGAATACAGCATGGCCAGATGCCTTTCGTGGTCAGATGGTTCATTGTTTAAAAAGCTTCAGCTTAAAATCCAAGAGATTGTTAACAGATGCAGTTTCTGGCTGGAGACTGGGAAAAACCTCACTTAAACAAAAGAGTATGTTGTGATTGGAATGAAAAAAGGGAATTACCTTTAAAGATAAGAACCACAAACATTTCCTATTTGAACAGAGCCCTCCTCGCCCCCAACCCCCGCAGGACCTTTTGGGGACCTCTCCAGAAAGCTTTACAAACTTAACAGGGGATGGCTGCAGATGACCAACCCTGGCCAATCAGCCCAGGAACTGTCACCGATTTGTTTGGACTTTGAACAAGGCCACAACATCCATCTCTTGCTCTCCCCCAGATTACTCAATTAGGCACAATTCCAGGTAATTTCTTTCCGATCCTGGTTGCCCCAGAAAGGCTTGTGCTGCATTCTTTTTGGCTCCGGACATGGATTTGCAAGCACAGAGAGACGTTTCAAAAAGGAGTACAGAACTTGATAAGCAGGGAGCCACTGCTGGGCTCAAGACGCTACAGGCTGCGCAGGTCCTGGCCTGCCTTCGGCTCCCAGTCTCCTTGGCCTCTGCACCCTCGCTTCACTTTTACCCTGGACGCCCCTTTCCACCATCTCGTGCTGCCTGTATCTGCTGGCTTTTGGTGGGGGGGTCTTCCTCCACGGCTTCACTATGTGTGAGCATGTATATAGCGCTCTGGGTTCTAGTCTTGAAAGATGGGAAACCAGAAGGAAGCCATGAGTTTAAAGCTGTCCCTTGCTGTGAGAAATGGTCCTGATTTTGCCGGCTGGTGTCAATGGCCTTGATGTGCAGAGCTACCTGAGCCATGTGCCTGGTCTTAAGAAGATCGTGAGCTGGATTGAGAAGGGCAGCATGTCCTTCAGCAAGTGACATTCCCGGAGGCAGGTCAACAGGCAGGCCCTTTCCCAGGTTAGGTTTCTGTAGGCTCATGGTCGTTGTCCGTGTTCTTCTGATTTCGTATGGTCCAAGCTGTCCGTTGTACACCAAAAGCATAGAAGTGTTTACCTCTGAGATGCTCCCGTGAAGAAAATCCTTCAACAAGCCAGGCTTCCTGTTCGAGTTACAGTGAGGGAGTGGCTATCAGCCCATGAGGTTCCACAAAGAGTTACAACGGCTTTTCTGCTCAGTTCACACACCCCCAGTCACAAAAAGGAATCCAAGCTGCTGGGATGTGGCTCGCCAGAGGAGTGCCTTCAGTGCATCTGGCCAGGTACTGGGGGGGTGGGGGTGAGGGGGGGCGGGGTGGGGGGAGCATTCACCAAGGGACGGGGTTCTGGAGCCCGGGTCACGGCATCCATTTTCCATCCTCCTACAAAAGCCAGCATGTGAGCTGAGGATTGCGAGGAGCGGAATCTGATAGGCCTGGAAATTGAAAAAGGAGCAGCAGCTGGGAGCTCGAGGTCATTACTATTCTCCAGGGCGTTTCTTGAAGGGGCAGGAGTTTCCATGATTAACTTTCGATGGCCGTCAGGGGTGTAATAAAATCTGGGAAAGAAGAAAACTTTCCCCTGCAGTCAGCTGCTCCCATTTTCCTGCCCTGTCCTTTCCCCCACATCTCCAATCCCCACCGCTTCTTGTTTCCTGATGGTGAGAAACCCGTGTGCCACGAGGGCCCACGCAGGCCAGGGTCGCAGCGTACGTCCTCAGAATCCCTGGAAGGATTCTTCAGTCTCAGTGGGCGCCGGTCTTTAAGATGGAAGCGGGAAAAGGCTCCTTGGTTCCAAAGGCCATCCAGCACCATCCATTTTGCACGTGAAGGAATTTTATTTTCATCCCATACTTCTTTGTCAGGATATGATAGTGCTCTCTAAGCCATGACGATCAATTTAACGACCGAGAGCGCCCCTGCTTGATAAGAGGTGTGCCAAAAGAGAAGGAGCAGATCAGAGGACCCGTTTCTTTGCAAAGACATATTGCTGGGCATTGCCGGACTGGGAAACGTGGGAATGTCACTGTGGCCTGATAGCAGGTGAGGGGACCAACCAGAGAAGTTACAGCTGAACCGCTCTCAGCGGTGGTCACTGCAATCAAACTGACAGGTGGAAAAGTAAATGAACTTGATCATGTTGGATGGTGTTCGATAAAGCACTAGGAACAATTGAATGGTTCAGTCACCAAATGCTGATTTCATAATAACAGATGCTAGAAACACAAAGATGGATAAGACTTGGTGCTTTGACACCAGAGCTGTTCACACCTGGTTGGGGAGAGACAGGCTCACTGGTGGAGCGGGAGCCTCCACTCAGTCATAGGCGGACTCTCCTGGGAAGGCAGCATGGTACCGACACTGCTACCAACCAAGGGGCAGACGGGCTGGGGCAAGGCAATGACCTGACCCCTCCTCCCCGAGGGAGGCTCCCAACTGCACACTTTGTTCTTAGCTGCTGTCAAGCTGGCCCCAAACCCGCAGGGAACCGTACACAACCAAGTAAAATGCCGCCCAGTCCTGTACCACCCCATGACTGGTGGCAGATCAGTGTTTTCCAGAGTAGGTTGCCAGGCCTTTCTTCCTAGCCCATCTGAGTCCAGAAGCTCCGCTGACACCTACCTGTTCAGCATCATGGTCATACATAAGCTTCGACCCCCAGACGAGGCAAAGGGGCTGGGAAGTGAACCCAAGTTTCCCTCAAGGAAGATGAGAACTCATCTCAACTCAACTCAATTCAAGTTGATTCCTGCTCAGAGAACCCCTATAGAGGGTTTCTGAGACTGGAAATCTTTACGGGAACAGGCAGCCTCTTTTTCCCACGTAGTGGCTGGTGGGTTTGAGCTACCGCCTTTGAAGCTCAATGGTTACCTCACAGCACCACCTAATAAATCTGTCCCCGATATTGGAGTGGGGTGGGGATATCTTGAAATGATAGTGCATGGTAGTTTGTTCCTGCTTCCCGGAGTCAAGAGTAAGAACTGGATTTCCTACTGGTTGTTGGAGAGAAAGATCCACTTCTCTTAGGGACCTTTCTAGTTATCCTATTTTGGGTCAGGGACAAATGGCAAGATGCGGTCATGAATAGAACTGGTTCCAAAACCTTAATGCACCACAGGGTTTAAAAGACGGAGGAGTAAACCTGACTTCGGATGATGTGGTGAAGCTTACTGCCTTTGGTGCTATGTTTTATATATAGAGATAGATAGATAGATAGATAGATAGATAGATAGATAGATAGATAGATAGATAGATAGATAGATAGATAGATAGATAGATGTATATATGAGCTACTGGCATTTTTGCCACCTTGGCATCAAGAGGAGCCTTCGCCTAAAGTAATACAGCTCTCAGCCTTTAACTGAGAGGCTTCCCTGAATAACTACATTACTCCATGCATCAAGGTGTGGCTATGTGAGTCAGCTCTGTCCAACAGGATGTGAAGGATGTATATACAACTCGTGGGCCATGCTCCTAAAGTGGACATCCTTGGCTTGAAAGGACAAATGGCTACAGTGCAATCTGAACCACGAAGACAAGACTCACCCCCTGCCATCAATCTTTATGTAAGTAGAAAGTCACGTCTTTCTCCCAGAGTGGCTGGTGGTTTTGAACCGCTGACCTTGCAGTTAGCAGCCCAACATGTAACCACCATGCCTTCTTAAGGATTCCTTATGAAGACAAGGGATATGGAGAAATGGAGAGTTAGAAGCAGACGGATCACAGAGAATTGTGAAGCCACAAAACTAGTCCTAAACTACCTAAATAAAAATGCTTATGTGAAAAATAGGGGGATAAAACACTTCTATTTTCTCATGGAGCTGTTAACCACAAGGTCTGCTCTTCAAACTCACCAGTTGTACCAAGGGAGAAAGACAAGACCGCCTGCCCCTGTAAAGATTTAACATCTCTGACACCCAAAGGGGCAGTTATTTGGGGTCTAAGTTATAACATGGTTACAAACATGGTTCCAGGTGCTCAGTGACCAGGAATAGGCTGCAAAAGGGTTTGAGGAACTGTGGGTATAAATAACATCCCCAAATCAGCTCCTTGTGCATTTAGCCCCAAGTCTATAGCATGGCACAATCAACCCGTTTTTCACATTATAAAGAGCAGTTAGAGCCTGGTGGTCAAATGACAAAGCAAAGAGAATCAAAAAGGATCATTTTCCAGTTTTCCATCAACGCAAAGGGCATCTTACCTTTTTCTTGCTACAGTATATTTGCCATTTTTTCTCTGCTGGAAGTGCAAACATGGCTTCCCGGTGTTTGTCTGTGAGGTCAAGTTCATCCTGAAAAGAAATAAGATAGTGTATCGTTGATAAAATGCAATAGGGTAAATTACATCATTAAGGAAGAAAATAAACCCAAAACACCAACATGTATTTAAATGAGCTTGGAAAAAGAGCAAGAAGCTAGGGAATGTGAAGGCTACCACTATAAAGAAAGCGTGTCTCTGGCACAGGTATAGTATGGCAAGAGAGATGAAGCCTGCACATACCTAAGGTTGGGAACTGGACTGTGCCTAGACACAATTCACAGGGGTTACGTGTATTGTTGTAGAGGGCCCACTGAGCAGGAGTGGGCATCTACCTTGGGGGTTTGAATCAGTCACAAACTCATTGCCATTGAGTCAATTCTGATTCACTGTGTCCCTGTAGGGTAGGGTAGGGTAGGGTAGACTGGCCCTGTGGGTTTCTGAAACTAACTCTACAGGAGTAGAAAGCCTCGTCTTCCTCCCACACAGCAGCAGGTGGTTTCAAAGTGCGCACATCATGGTTAGTGGTCCGACACGTAACCATTATGCCATCAGGGCTACTCTAATCACAATAAAGACGATGGCTTGTTGGGAATGGCTTCACGAGCACGGAGTATTAGGCTGGGTCTTAAAAGAAAGGCAAGGCCATGAACAGGGACAGAGACGGGAAGGGAAGGTCTAGGGAGGGGTCATAGAAACAATGGCAAGGGTGTGATAACTGACTAGTGTGCCTGGGGACAAGGACCAGTTTACCTGACACACTTCCTTTATGCAAAGGATCATCATATAAAAGTTAGGGAGTGGCCAGTTTGTGGAAGTCTTATCTGACAGAATCTAAGTGTTTATTCTCTTGATTATAGTCAGTGAAGGTTTGGGGCAAGAGTGACATCTTTGTCACCCCAAGCCCCACTATTATTTTTTATTTTACATTCCAAACATCATATAGAAAAATATTCTCCTCGCCCCCCTATCCCCCCAATTTACTTCAACACTCATAAGTACCACACCTGTTCAACAATTGGGGAAAATTTAGGCTTGCAAGAAGGCGACTTGTTCAAGACCATGTGCCTGGTATGATGGGTCTGGTTTTGGAGTCTAGAGCTCTCTGACTCCAGGGCTCAGGCTCTGTGAGCTTCTCAGATCGGCATTTGGAAGCATTAATTTTATGGTGCTGTGCAGTGATCCAAAAGGGAGGCAATGCACAACCACCCATAATTAATGAATAATGAGATAATGCATCTAAAGTGCTTAGAGAAAAACTATTGGCATTTAGTAAGAGGTCAATCCATGGCCAGAATTATTATTGATGGTGAGCCTCTGGTACATGTTATTTCTATAGGTAGTAGTAGATAGTGGTAATAAGTTATACCCTCATTATAAAAACGAAAAAGAGCTATAAATTAGGGCTCATAACATTAGATCCCTCAAGAGTATAAGCCAAGTCCTTCCCACCTGCCCCCCCCACCCCTGACTCCTCAGCACTTTCTGTGCATGAATGGACAGTAGGCTTAGGACATGGGCCTCTCATTTTAGCGTTATCTCCATTTAAGGCAGTGGTTCTCAACCTGTGGGTCAAACGACCCTTTCACAGGGGTCGCCGAAGACCATCAGAAAAACATAAATATTTCACAATACATAATTAGATACTGTTTTGTGATTAATCACTATGCTTTAATTATGTCCAATCTGTAACAATGAAAATACATCCTGCGTAATGTACTATTTACATTACGATTCATAACAGTAGCAAAATGACAGTTATGAAGTAGCAACGAAAATAATCTTATGGTTGGGGGTCACCACAACATGAGGAACTGTATCAAAGGGTCACGCATTAGGGAGGTTGAGAACCACTGATTTAAGGCGTCCTGGTGGTGCAGTGGTTAAGTGCTCATTTGCTAACGCAAAGGTTGGCGGTGTGGTCCCACCAGTGGCTCTGTGGAGAGCAAGAGGAAAGATGGCTCCTGTACAGAGCAGGGCCCTGGGGACCCTCTGGGATCTGTTCTGCTCTGCCCTACAGGGTTGCTGTGCGCCAAAATGGACGCAGCGGCAATGGGCTTGGCATGGGCTTTATCTCCTCTTATTCGTAGTCACCAAGTCCTATTTTTCCTTAAAAAAAAATATCCCAAGACTCCACCTTTTTTCCTTATTCCCACTGAAACCGTCCAAGTGCATGTCCCAGTAACAACTTCTTGGCTTCTTGCCATGACCGCACGTGTTCCTCCTTTCCAGGCCTCCCTACTCTGCATGGCCAGAATCCTCTGAAAACAGTGGCTTGTTTTCAGACGTGGCCATCCACCAGAATCACCTGGAGGGCTCATTAAAACAAAGACGCCGGCCCCCAGCCCCGATATTATGACTTGATATAGAGAAGCTGCAGTTTTAATAAGCTTCCAGGTGCCGCTGATGCTGCTGGTCTAGGGAACACACTTTATGGAACTACCGCCCTACCGCCCTAGAAAATAGAGCACCGGCGCAATCTTGATCTCCCAGCTCAAAAACTGTCATTAATTCCACATTGCCTACAAAACTAATTATTCATTCTTCAGGCTTTGGTTTATTTTTCATCATGGCAAAAATATACATAGCACTCGTCGGCCCTCCCTTTTGAGATATTCCATTTATGATCTCAATTTACCATCTTTCTTCCTTGTATGCTTACCTGCCTATTTTGTAAACACCTCCACCTCCAGGGCCTGCCTCCCTCCCTCCCTCACTGCCATCAAGGCCATGCTGACTCTTCCTATAGGCAGAGTAAAACGGTTCTTGTGGGTTTCTGAGAGTGTAACTCTTTACAAGAATAGAAAGCCTCATCTTTCTCCCTCAGAATGGCTCAGGTTTGAACTACTGATCTTGTTGTGGTTAACAGCCAAACGGGGAACCCACTATTCCACCAGGGCTCCCTCTTCAGCGTCTAGTTACTGCCTAATACACGGTGGTTTCCCTGGGGACATTCTTGATCTCTTTAAACCTGTTTTCATCTTCAGAATGGGCAGACCATCTATCTTGCTCTAGGGCTGCTCTATGGATTAGCCAAATCAACTAAGCATGTGGCATCACCTGGCTCAGAATTAACTCTCCTGTTAGTGCAGTCATCATTCAATACAAATTAGTTGCCATTTTCTTTTAAGGGCAAGGTACACCTGGTTGTTCTGTTGTTGTTGCTGTTGAGTGCTGTAGAGTTGGTTCTAGCTCAGTCACCCTATGTACAACAGAATAGAATGCTGCCCCATTGTGACCAATCCTTACAGTCATTGCTGTGTTCAAAGGCATTCCTACAGCTACTATGTCAATCCATCTCATTAAGGGTCTTCTTTTTCATGCACTCTCTACTTTACTAAACGTGACGCCACTCTCCAAGGCCTAGTTCCTCGTCATAACGTGTCCAAAGTACATGAGACGAAGTCTCACCATCCTCACTTCTAAGGAGCATTCTGTCTGGACTTCTTCCAAGATGGACTTCATTTTGTTTGCAGTGCATGTTATACTCAATATTGTTTACCAACCCCATGAGTTAAAGGCTTATTTGTTGGTCTTCCTTATTCATTGTCCCATTTTCACACAAACTCATTAAAACACCCACTTGAATACCCAACCACATACACACAAAAAAACAGCTATTAGGAATTTCAACAATGAACAACCAGGAAGGAAATAAAGAGATTGTAACCAAAAATCCCATTATGGAGGGAAAATGTTAAAGTTTTGACATGAAACTATTATGTATGTGAAGTCATTATTTTTTTCTCAATTTCCTGTACTTCAGGCCTGCTCTCACCCATTGATGAATGAGGAATATAATGGTGATATAAATCATTTTCCAACAATTCGAGGTGTTTTCTGGGGAGGTGGTGGGAGGTATGCATTAGGTCAGTCATTCAAATAGGTCAGTAATGTGGTGCTTTGTTTGTGGGAGAAAATTAAGCTACTGTTACAACCTCCTTTATTACACTCACTCACTGGGTGTTTCTTCACGGCACAACCTGTAGGAGATGTGAAGAAGTGTGTGAATGAACCCTGAGACCTAGCCAGCTGTGACAAAGGCTATTCATCTCACTGTCTTCTGTTGTTTGAGGCAGGCCAACCCTACTTTTTCGCAGAGGTGGAGAAATGACCAGTTTTGAACTGAGAGAGCACAGTGCCCTAGGATGTAGGGACAGGTGGCTTCATGCAAGAGGAGAATTTTTATAAAGCTAAAATTCAAAAAAAGTGATCAGAGCTCCGTACCTAATTTTAGATTACCGTAATAAAGCAAGGAGAAATAAATGGTGATAATAACAGCTAACAAGTATTGAGTGCTTCCTGTGTGCTTAACAGTCATATTTTATCAGGGTTAATTTATTTTAACCTCACAACAACACAATGGGTGATATTATCTCCCCATATTCCATGGAACTGAGTCACAGAGAGACTAAGTACCTTGCTCAAGGTAACAAAGCTAGTAAATGCTAGAGGGCAGATCTGAACTGGGGCTTGCTGGTTATAAGGAACCTGTGTGCTTAACTACTGGACTTTTCTATTTTTTCCTGCTGACTCCTGCTGAAGGTGGAATTGTGGCACACGCACCACCTGCTGCACTACCGAGTGTTTCTGAACACAAAGAAGGGGGGCTTTGCTTCAGATTTGGATCTTATAGCTTATGCAAGCATGGATAAGTGACTTCACCTCTGAACTGCAATTTCTTCCTCTGTAAAAATGATAACAATTATATAGACCTGATAAGTTATTGTAAGGATTAAACTGTTCAACTGAAAAAAATCTTTTAAAAAAAAATGTCTATGAGCAGCAGACATGGTACTATGATCAGGGAGTAAAAGAAGTATGTATCAGATCACAGTCCCATAGAGGAAAGCAGAAATTAAATCATTTCCAAACACTTGAAGGATGAGTCTACCTCGAGTTGTTTGGAGAGCGAGCGGCAATGTTCTCTAAAAAGGTGAGGCAGTGATGGAGCTTTCAAGAAAGTGACGGTGGAGCTGGAGGAGGCAAAGGAATTAAATAGGTGAAAAAGACTGCAGATAGGGAACAATGTGA